AGTTTATAATGATAATTTAGTTTTGTAACAAATTATTTTGGCATAAAAGTGTTGATGAATCTCTTGAAATATAGTGCACTAGGTTACTCTTAATAATATACAGATTTTATGTATCACAAAAAAATGGAAAGACATCGTAAATTGTAATTCATATCCATTTAAATCACATTACCATCATGCTCATTGAATGTTGTTTTGTAATTTAGTATTCTATTTTGTAAGTGTAAAATTCCTTCACATGTTTATCTGACCTGTGTTACGAATATTTCATAGTACTTCAAGACTGTGTTGGCTGGAATTACATGTCTCATATTGCTCATGTAAAGGTATATAAATAGTTGTAAATGGTGGTTAGCACAATAGATAGTGTTGGACTGTGAATCGAGCAACCTGGGTTCAATTCCCGGACAGTTCAGGTCACTTTCATTGTGATTGATCCTGAAATCCTTTTTGTACCTCTGCTCTTGCATGTACAGATTAATTATCAGTTCCTTGCGAAAGTGAAGGCAACTAGAACTGGTAAACTGCTTGATAACTGCCCAGGATTGATGCGGTGGCTGAAAATTCAATGTGGCTTACTGCCATGATCTGGAGTGAAAACTACCACCATCACCCAAAGAGATGTTCAGTCAATACCCAAGTCAGAACTCAGACATCCCAGGCTCTTATACTATCAAGCTACATGATTTTAGTTTAAATTTCTAAAAACTTCAAATTTTAGTTTTTTTTCCAATTAGTTTTATTCTATGAAATGAAAATAAATTGTTGATACTGTAGAACTTCTGTCCCATGCAAAATGAATGAATGAATGAATAAATGAATGAATAAAAGGAAATTATTTATATAAAATTTATATCAGGTAATGTTGAAAAATAAAAATATTTTTTTTTTCATATGCTGTAAAATAATGATCATCAGTTACAATAAAAAAAAACAACAAAAGTCTGATCTTTTGTTATGTTAAACAACTGACCTGCAGATAAAACAAGGCACATTTTTAACACTGATTTACCAGACAACAAAGCTTTTATTCATATGATGTCTAATTAGTTTATTAAAGCATGAAACTGTTTTTTAAAACTTTTCCAAGTTCACTGTCTGGGTCGCATGTACTATACTGCCCTACAAAAAAAAATTTTAGATGATGGATGCTCTATAGAAGCAGCCAGTTATCATGAAGACTTGGGATGGGCCGGTGCTTGTAGTTTACCCTCTGGATAATGGCAGCAAGCTGCATTGAATTAGAGAATTTTTATGGATGCTTCTAAGGCCTTTAAATGACGAAAAAAAGGAGGCCAAAGCTGCAGCTTGATTTAAAACTCCTGATAAGTATTTGCCAGGAGTATAGAGCCATGTCAACTGGTATATACTGTTGGTAGCTCAATTTCTGTATTTTCATATTGAAATCCTGTAAATTTTGAATGGACAGTTCCAAAGTCAAGGCAGGGAAAATTCATTATGAAAATTCAGCAGTTTTAGTGTTGAGATATGCAACTGCTTTAAGCATACTCAAAAAAAAATTTATAATGGACCTGTAATACTTTGTAATATTTTTAAACCAACTTGCCGTTTTTAATGAGTATTGAAATGCTAAAACTTAGAAGTCACCAGTAAAGAGTGGTCAGACTGCATGCATGAGCAAATAAAGAATATCTCAAGATAAATATTTCTTATGTTTGGATTTTAAAAATATAATGTAATACTTATTTAAGTGAATTATGATCAAAACATAATGTAATATTTAGAGAGAAAGGTGGCCAAATGATACAAGTGCCAGCCCCAAGACCTGAGGAATGCTTAGTGTAAGCTAGAATGCTTTGAAATAGGACGCTGTTTCTGTGCTGAGAGTGTTTTAAAGAGAATTTTAAAGCTTCACCCCAAAGTATTACAATATTTAGATTTCAAGAAATAAAAAAATGCAGCAAATCTTTTAAGAACAGTGTATTATGTTGCCCAGACATAGGTATGCATTATATTAATTGTTTATTAATTAGTATCAAACTTTACATGAACAATCCATGTCCCTAAGCTATTACAACCATTAAGGCCAAGAAGACGTTGTATATTACTGGTATTTTTTTTCATTTATTGTAAGACAAATTATTATTTTTTTCTCCTTTGTGAGATTTGTGAGTATTTTACGAACTTAAAATGAATTTTGATTTAAAAATAAGAAGGTGGAATTTCGGTACATAATGATATAAGAGTTTAAGCTGAGTTTCCATGAGGTTAGTTAAGGTTATTTTTGACAATTTTTTTATAAATTTTGAAAGTAAATTATAATTCACTGGTATGAAATACAGTTTTTCAAAGTTGAAAAATAGATTACATTAAATTTGGGAAAATGCTTCCTCTTTGATGTAATTGTAGTGGAAAGGAATAGACTATGCTACCAGTCATAGAGCAAGGTCAGCCTGCACAGTAATGCAGTCTGACCACTGCAGGCTCTATACCAAGGTCTGACTTACTTTGCCTGCTTGAGTATTAATAGCTGTAAAACCATACAGTTTGACCTTTATAGAATCTATTTTGTTGTTTTACTAACTTTAAATTTTCATTTTGATACCCCCAAATTGATAATGGACAATTCAAAAACGGACGATGAACAAGTCCATTTTGGAAATTCAGCAGGTTAATGGTTAAGTGCAGCAGTTAAGAGTTGGTCCGTACATTGATGAGTTGCAAGTTTGAATCTAGAGCATTATGTTTGACCACTGTATGGTGAATGCAATTTGAACATATTAATGATTTATAAGTACTTGTTAAAAGATTTGTTGATTATTTTGTTAATTTATTCAGGGGGAAGTATAGCTGCTGATATATATTTTTTGTTGAGAGTTTAAGTTTTGTTAGTGGAAGGAGTTACATAGTCCAAGTTCTTGTCATGCAAAATACAAGTCATATAATTTGTCTCATGGAAAACTATTCATTATGTACCAGTTATCTCCGCACACTGTGGTACCAAATTGTACTATAGATAATGACCATGCCTCATCTGAGATTCGAACCTAACGATGCTAACCTTTGCCAATTTTTTTCAAGTTGACTAGGGAGAGCTTTTGTACTCGCCGAGGCTTTTGCGTCATTGTCAGCATTACCTTCACACTTTGGTTAATTTTTTTGCAAAAACTATGAAAGGAAATGGATTGAAACTTAAATTTTGAGAGCATAGTAGGAGGTCACTTTCACAGACCCATAATTCTAACATGGATTTTGACAGAATTGTGGCCTGTTTCAAACTTAAAAAATTCTACATTAACCAGGCTCTTATTTGACTATCATGCACTGTGAATAGTCAAGCACTGTTCTACTGACAGCTCTTGTTAAGTACACTGACAATTTCCTTGAACTGAGGTGCATTAGCACTATTATTTCTCCAATATATGCGTGAAATTATGACATATGTACATGCGAGGTCACAGCAAGAAATAAAATACATTTATGCATACTTCAAAATTAATAATATAATAATGTATGTATATTTAATTCAACAGTGTTCACCTTAGGTTATAAAGAAATGATTTGATTTCTTTAGACTTCTAAATCAAGTTATATGGCTATTTATATCTGGTGTTATTTCAATGAAGTCACATTAAAAGGGTTTAATGTTTATTCACAAGCTGTAATTATCGTATTTTGTTGAAAATAACTTCTTCATACTTCACTGCCAAATCGTGGTTAACTTCCAACCGAAATTGGTGATTATGCCATTCAAAATTTTAAAATGGAGAATTGAAATAGTTTTGCATGGAGACTTCACAGTAATTAAAAAGGCTATATGGTGAATTTAATTTGAACATAAGATTGATTTATAAGTATTTATTGATAAATTTGTTGATTATTTTGTTAACTGATTTTGTGGGTAATATAAGTTTTTTAATGAGAGTTTATATAAGTGTAGTGGGAGGTTATTAAAATTTAGGGTTCAGAGCAACTGTTCAAAGTCATAAAAGGGTTTGTTAATTAAATTTTTGCAGTCCATACAAATATAGATTGAAAAAGGGAAAAACTTCAGTTGAATATATCAACTTAATTTCTTACCCTGATGACTTACTGCTTTTGACCCTTACCTGCTGGAACAGAAAGTGGTTAGCCTTTGCCATCAGTGTAGAGCCTAATTCTGTGTAGTTTGAGCAGACTCTATACTGTTAGCTGACATACCATAAACTTACATAATAATATTTCTTAAATTGGTGAATGATGGTTCCTGGAAAAATCAATTTAAGGAATTTAGCAGGTTAAGGGTAGCTTAGGAACATTGGACCAGTCTTATGTTGTATCAGAGCCAACATAATATAGAGCCAATGGACTGACTGCATAAATGTATATGTGTGGTTAATATAGCTCTCATTTAGAAGGTTAAATAAAAAATATCTTTCATTTGGCATCTTGAAACCTCAAAATATATATTTTAACCATTGATTACCAAGTAGGATCTTGAGAATTTTTGAGAAAGTGATTAAGGTTCTGACTTCAAAATGATTTGGTTTGTGTGTGTCTTGCTAAAACTTAAATTTTTGTAGATGTGACTTTTTCACTTAATTATAGAATGTCTTACTTGTAAAATATTTAAGAGATTCTTTGTTAAGAAAGACATTTTCTGAGTCTTCTTAAGAACAGAGTAGCCATATGTACATGTTGCTGATATACATGTTGAACAATATTTAGTAGGGGTGTCCATGGCTGAATGGTAAAGGCCGTTGTCTTCAATCCACTTGCCTCTCACCGCTATAGGTTTGGGCTGGCCGGTATCCTCATATTATTTCACTGTCAGTGGTTCTACTAAGGCGCCTGTTTGTGTCTGAAATAATGCACAGAGGGACACCTGAGGTCTTCCTCCATCAGTTTAACTGGAAAGTGGCCATATGACCTAAACTGTGATTTTGCAACGTAAAACACAACAACAAAAATATATATATAAGTTCTTGATTTCTAAAGTTTATACTTGTATGCATTCCCAGACTGTGTTTCATCAAATATGTTTATTATATATTTTACAGACTGGTTTTGGAATGAAGATAAATATAGAATAAGAATGTGAGTGAAGGACTTTGATAAAATCCAAACATAATATATGTAGAGGTAAGTGGTAAGTTTGTTCATGTCCAGACTTTTGTAAATCATCAAGATTTACTTAAGCTGATTCTGCTTAGTACTATGATTGTTGTGGGTTCAAATCCCACTAGAGGTAATGAATTTCCTACGTGTGAGGACACTATCTGGCTAGCTTAGTTGATAGTTCTACTGAGGTGGCTACTCTTGCATCAGGAGTACCTGAGGTCGGGTGGCCACTTTCAGCAGAAGTACCCTTTCTTTAAGCTGGACAAGTCAGCTTTTATGATCTTTTCTGTGGTGGCATGACTTTAAAAAAAACAACTTATAAACACCATCTCAATGATTTATGCTCTGATGTTAAATCTATAGTTAATAAACTGAATTACGTTACTCATACTTTCTAATATTAATAATGCATTAAACAAAGAAACCTCTTAAAATTAGCATTAATAAAAGACAGTAATAATGTCATTATTATGCTTTTGTTCTTTTTGAATAATTGAATAATTTTACAGCATTTTTGTGTCGCCTCTACGGAGTAGTGGCGACATATAGGGATCACTTCTCCGTCGTCTGTCTGTCCGTCTGTCCGTCTGTCTGTCTGTCTGTCCGTCTGTCCGTCCGTCCGTCACAAAACTTGTCCGGACTACTCCTCATAAACTACTGGTGCAATTTCATCCAAACTTTACAGGAATGATCAGTACCAAGTCTAGTTGTGCATATTGTCAGGATTTTCCGGTTCAATGATTTTTGTCAGAGTTATGGCCCTTTAATAATTTTTAATTTTAAAGTTTGTCCGGACTACTTCTCTTATACCACTAATGCAATTTCAATGAAACTTTACAGGATTGATCTGTAGCTCAAGTCCTTGCGCATATTGCACGGGTTTTCCGGTTGAATGGTTTTTGGCCGAGTTATGGCCCTTTGATAAAAAGGTTTCTTTTTCTGTGTGTTGCCAGATACACAAAAGCTTGTCCGGACTACTCCTCATAAACTACTGGTGCAATTTCATCCAAACTTTACAGGAATGATCAGTACCAAGTCTAGTTGTGCATATTGTCAGGATTTTCCGGTTCAATGATTTTTGTTTGAGTTATGGCCCTTTAATAATTTTTATTTTTAAAGTTTGTCCAGACTACTTCTCTTATACCACTTATGCAATTTCAATGAAACTTTACAGGATTGATCTGTAGCTCAAGTCCTTGCGCATATTGCACGGGTTTTCCGGTTGAATGATTTTTGGCCGAGTTATGGCCCTTTGATAAAAAGGTGTTTTTTCTGTGTGTTGCCAGATACGCAAAAGCTTGTCCGGACTACTCCTCATAAACTACTGGTGCAATTTTATCCAAATTTTACAGGAATGATCAGTACAAAGTGGTTAGTCTAGTTGTGCACTGTCCGTCTGTCTGTCACAAAATTTGTCCCAACATGAAATTGGCCATCATGAGGCGACACATGTGATTACTGATCGCTCTTGTTCTTTAATCATGCCCTCCATACATATTCTTACTGTACTGCTTATTTGAGTGCATTATTAATATTTTATGTACGATTATAAAGTTGTATATAAAATTATACTTCAGAGAAATGAAATGCATGATTCACTTATGATTAACATATCTGTAGTAACGCTTCATAACTCGGTGTTACGATAAATTATGCCGGTATTAAAACTATTCCGACACCGATGCAAATGCAACGTGAATATTGTACAGTATTTCATTATATCATGTAGGTAAATTGGTTACCGAATTCCGTACAATACATCTTCTTTTCGCTTGATGATGTTAAATTATAAACTGCATTTGTTTCGTTGTAACCTAACACGTTGCTTTACCACCTTCAAATGAAAACGACTCTCTTTGTCTTCAAACAGTAGTCGATTACAACTAACATGAAAAAAGGTAATTTAGCTGGGCACATGCAACGAAATCGCTGCCAAAAAAAACCGTGTATCAAATAGCGGTGATTACTTCATTTGCTGCAAAACATTATGTTTGAAACAGTTAAATCTGGAGTATAGAGGCTGGAAACTGATCAAAATGATTTAGAAAAAAAAACAAAGTTGTTTATTTCTTTTATAAACATATATGTAATGAAGAAATTGAACAACGTTCGTCACATTTTCTAACAGGGGAAAGGTTTTTGTGCCAAACTTGTTCGAATTTACTTGATGGAAAGTAAATGAAGAAAACCACTTGTGTCTAAGTTAGACGGATTTGTTTACGCTTGTTTAAGCCTTATTTTAAACATTTTTTGATGAGTCTTTTATAAAAACGAGATGTTTTCCATCTTTCACTGCCACATGAGGATGGAATCTGAAAATGAAGAATGTCTGCATGCCTCTAATATTTCTCGTTGAAAGTTTTGCTTTCCATGCTTTTAACTTCTTACTAATTTTCAAAGTTGCTTTTTTGCTGTGTAAAATTACTGTTGTGTTTCACCTTTACTGTAAGTCTTTTACAACATGGTACCCGAGGCCAAGTTATTCTGTATCAGTCTTGTGAATGAAGGGGAGCTTCCGCCTGGTTATGGAAATGGTTGCCAAGGTGATTATTTAGGTGTCAGACTCTCAGCTTTAGGGTCATATATAGATCAAGACCTAGCCAGTCTGTGTGCCATTAAATGCAATATGACCCAGGTACTGCTTTGTCTAGGAAGTGGAAAGGAAAGTAATAAGAAGCACATCGCATGTGGCTTTATTCAAAACATTATGATGTGTTAACTATTTAATATAGCTGAAATATGTGTATGGCGAAAACTAAAACTTGGGAAATGATACAAAACCTGTAAAGTAATTATGAATAGGCAGAATATCATTGATTATGTAGTCTTTTGAAAATATTTGTACAAATAAAAACAGGGGAGTAAAAAAACCTACATGAAAGAAAAGAAGAATTCATAAAAAGGAGCCCGAAATATGGCCATTTGTTGAATATTACAGGGGAGATAGGCCCATAAAATTCAGTAACCATGCTGACATAGGCTCTCTCAAGTTTCAAAGAAAATTGAAACCATATGCCAGTTTCATGTATTTTTTTCCATAGATATTTTAAATAAATCCTATGTATTTTATCACCTGACTAGTCTGTAACTCATAAGGCTATCCTTATGTAAATGTTTGGTTGCTAAAGTAAAACATAACTCATAGTCTGCTAGTGGCATTACAGATTCAATGCATGCAAGCAATGTATACCAAGATCAGCCGGCACATTAAAATTTTGTGCCATCTGATCTGCATGGTCTACATTTTTCCCTATTCAATCTGTATATATTTTGAATCTTTTTCTAAAGATGTTGAATGATCTTTACCACATTGAAAGATATTTGATATGGGAATGGTTAAACTAATTTATTTTTTTACTTTACTGGTATATAGACTTAATACTATTGTTTTAAACCTTTCCGCAATGACTTTGTATAATGAGTTTGTGTACGACGTGGGTTTTTAGAGATTTCATAAGACTGGTCATCATAGCGCCTGGTCAGATTACTTGATAGAGCCTGAGGTATCTGGTTAACCACTAAGCTTACTGTAAAAAATGATGACTAAATAGCAGGCCATTATAACCATAAGTATTGAAGGAATTAAAGTTTACTTATAGTCACCTTAGTGTAGTAACGTGTTAACTCCTTGATACTTTATAGAAGTTAACCCATTTCTGCCGTAAGGTGCTATTACGTTCTTGACAAAAACAAAATTTAATGAAGGAACTGGAAATTAAATATTCTCTTTTTTTGGCCTAACAAGCATACAAAAATAAAAAAGGCATATCAGCATGTGAAGGAAGCGAGGGGGGGGGGGAGGGGTTTGATGTTTCACAGAGGAATGGTGCAGTCACACTTCATTAGTAATGCTGTAATTTAGTTAGATAAACCCTCATTAAACAACCAGGTTCCCACATTGTGAAACATTGCATGAATACAGCAGTGATAATTTCTAGGGATGTACTCAGTTTTCCATGTTAGTTTTTTATTTACTTTTTTTTTTAATTTTGAGACATTTTTTGCTTTGATTAGGAAATGTTAGGTACGCTCATTTTTTGTTCTTACTTATAAAGGAGACTGGAGCAATGTTAGAGGAAATTTGCTCTTTGGTGCATATCAGCTAATTCCAATGGCAATTGATATTTGTAGAAATTTATTATAACTTGTGGTGGATATTGACTAAACATGCAGATTGCCTGTACTTTATTATGTGGTATGTAATGCAGTGCTTTACTATGTGGCATCATTATGTAGCACTTTTGTGCATCATTATGTAGCACTTTTGTGCATAATTATGTAGTATTGTGCTCTATCATGTGGTATTGTGTATCATTATGTAGTACTGTGCTCTATCATGTGGTATTGTGTATCATTATGTAGTACTGTGCTCTATCATGTGGTATTGTGTATCATTATGTAGTACTGTGCTTTATCATGTGGTATTGTATTCATCATGCAGTACTGTGCTTTATTATGTGGTACTGTATTCATCATGCAGTACTGTGCTTTATTATGTCATACTGTATCATCATGCAGTACTGTGCTTTATTATGTGGTACTGTATTCATCATGCAGTACTGTGCTTTATTATGTGGTACTGTATTCAACATGCAGTACTGTGCTTTATTATGCGGTACTGTATTCATCATGCAGTACTGTGCTTTATTATGTGGTACTGTATTCATCATGCAGTACTGTGCTTTATTATGTGGTACTGTATTCAACATGCAGTACTGTGCTTTATTATGTTGTACTGTGCTTTAATTTGTGGTACTGTCTTGCTTTTTATCTGTTTAATACAGTATTTTAATTTATTTTGTGGTACTATATTGAAATGATAAGCTCAGTAAATATGATTCTTTCTCTATGGTTTTTGCACTATTTTGTAACAAAGATTAAAAAGGTAAACAAGGATATCAAATAGAACATGATTCTTCTATGTATTAAGCTTGTGCACAATTAGATTTTCACAAAGTTCAAAGAGACAAAGGGAAAGATGTGGTTAGTTTTTAATGGAGGAGATAGGTAACATGAGGTAG